GTGTGGGTGTGGGTGTGGGTGCGGGTGTGGGTGGGTGTGGGTGAGTGAGGGTGTGGGTGTGGGTGTGGGTGTGGGTTAGGAATGGATGGAATAAAGATAAACAAACACACCCACTCACACCCACACCCACACCCATACCCGTACCCACATCCGCATCCACATCCACACTCATACCCACCCGCACCCACACCCACTCCCACCCGCACCCACACCCACACCCGCCCGCACCCACACCCTCTCAACTGAGAAAAAATATCTGAGTAAGAACTTGAAGAAATCCTAAACATGATCCTGTTTCACCTTGAAAAATCCTGGAAGCAGGAATTACTAGGATTCGAAACTGGATCCTGAATAGAACTTGTCAAGATCCTTGAGCTTTAAGACCCTGACAGTTTCTTTCGCGATTTTCCAAGGATTGAGCAGAATTGAGACAAGGGATTTCCCCATCCCCACGCCCCACACCCACACTCGCACTCAAACCACATCCACATCCACATCCACACCCACATCAACCCACACCCTCACCCACACTCTGATGATCATTTTTTGTAGCAGCGTGTGCATAGTTCAAAGTTCGTCTTCTTCGATCGTATCACCATCATCGGAAGTCCAAGTATGGTCTGTTATTGTCAGGAAAGCATCACTGCGCCAATAACTGTTTGCATTTGCTTGTCACTTAGCCTTACGGTGATCATGTTCTTTTTGTTTAATAGACGAATAAGCGGACGAAAGTTTCGACGTTAAGAATAACACATACTTGTTTAAACTGGGATCATATTCTGCCTGTCTCACTTTGAAAAGCAGATATTCTGGTGTAAGCAACACTTCTTCTTCGTCAGGAAAAGCTGATAACTCGGATATATCGACAGCTTTCCCGTTTTCACCATTGTTCTCTTGTATATCAATGGTCATTAAAGTATTGCCAAAGAGTTCTGCTATCTGTCGAGACTTAGTGGTCGACAAAAAGGTTTTACTGTACCACATAGTGCAGTAGTCACTTGTTACATGGAATTTAAGTGCGTCATTATCTAACATTACACCGCGGTAAAGTATACCAGTATATAGTTTTCCATAACAGTCGATATAACCATGAAGCAATTTCCTATAATTGCATAACTTATAATCGACCAATGCATAATAGTCGCCTAAATCTCGATGACATGCGCGATATAGAAATGATGCTTGTGTGTAAAGTTTGACAGATTGTTTGAGTATCTCTCGCTCATCTTTTTCTCTCATTTCCAATATAGTAGCGCTCATCTTTTGCGCCTCTATGACTTGTCCGCGTTCTCTTCTAACAGAAAGTATTTCATTTATCGCAGCATTAACTATTGGGAAAATATTTTCTAAGTGTTTGTCACCCACATCCAAATCTTTAAAAAAAAGTAGTAACCGTTCTCTCCTTCAACGTACAGCGTAATTCGTTTCCCAGACTGAATGTTATTGGGATCTGTCACAGAAATTGTACGAGGAGGTACAGGCATACAGGTATCTCGCATTGGAAACCAATCTTCCAATAAAAGTCTTCTATAACTAAAAGGATTATCATAAAAACGTTCGGGTAGCTTTGATGAATCAATAGAAGATCGTGCTTCTAGGCTTTGGACAAGGACAGAAGTCACCGAACTTCGATTTGTACATATATTTTGGCAATTCTCCATGGCGATAAATGTCAATCAAATTAGTTCGCTATATACCAACCACTGCTTGTACTCTTCCGATTTGTAATAATATGCGCGCACGTGTTTTGTTTGCGTATCAATGCACGAATAATAGTTGCGTTCTCTTAACGATAAATCCTTTCTTTCTGTCGGAAGTTGCAGCGAAAAAATAGTGGTAGCCACTCTTCCTTACTGTTATAATTTCGTTCTTTCCAAGTAGCTACCAAATTCGAGTTCGAATATAAATGAAAAAAAAATTCGTATTCTTGTTACTTTGCCCAAAGAAAAAACTAATTTTTTTCTCCTTTATAATTCTTATAACTGAGATTTCGCACCCATCTTGGCTTGGCCAAAAAAAAATAAATTTTTCTCAGTCATAATTCTTATAATTGATGGTGTGGGTGTGGCGTGTGGGTGTGGGTGTGGATGTGGATGGATGTGGATGGGTGTGGGTGTGGGTATGGGTGTGGGTGTCGATGTGGGTATGGGCATGGGTCTGGGTGTCGGTGTGGGTAGTGGTCGAAAGTTACCGATACCGTTCCCGGGAACTGGGAACGGCCTCAAGAGTGTCTACCGCCATCAAACCGCACCTTCCGTCCACAAGTCCTATTACTCGGGTGAATCTTTGGGGACTCAGGTCCTAGTATTGGGAGTACCTTTGCGTCCTCAAGTCCTACAATTGGAGGTAGGGGTGGGAAGTTCCCGTTACGCTCCCGGGTTACCCTTGGTCCACCAAAAGCTAGCATTCTAGGATATGCTCGGGTGCGCCGGGAGGACCTAAAAGTACCTCCCAATACTTTGAGTTCAGGACCGCAGAACACCCCTCAATAGTAAGACCTGAGGGGCCAAGGGTACTGGCAATACCAGTAATTATCGGGACAAGGGGACCATGCGACACGCACTGTTTCGGCAAAGGCTGCCGCGCCACTTTTTGTCATGCTTGGGCCAATAATGCCCCCTTCCTGGCAATTGAACCTGAGGGTGTAGGTGTGGGTCTGGGTGGTGTGAGGTTGGGTGGGGTGTGGGTGGGTGGGGTGTGAGTGGGCGTGGCTGTGGGTGTGGGGTGTAGGTGTTTAGTGTGGGTGTGGGTCAGCGTGGGTGGGTGTGAGTGTGGATGTGGGTGGGTGGTGTGGATGGCTGTGGGTGTGGGTCTGGAGTAAGAGAAAAAGATTACCCACACCCAGATCTACATCCATACTCACGCCCACATCCATATCCACATCCACAATCCACACCCACACACACATCCACACCCCACACCCACACCCACGCCCACACCCACACTCACACGCACACCCACCCACGCCCACACACACACGCCACACCCACCCAGCCACACCCACACCCACCCACGCCCACACCCACACTCACACGCACACCCACACCCACCCACCCACCCACACCCACCCACCCACCCACACCCAC